TACTACTGTTCTTTTAAATAATCTTATGCCACAGCTGCTTTTCTCTCAGAGCCTATTTTCGGTAACGGATTGCAAGTTCCACGGGAAAACGCTTGTACGCGTTTAACAGCACAGGCTTCTAGAGCTCTGTTGTTCATTTCGGCACCAACGCAGTATTTAACCACGTCTGCTGCAACCGTACAGCTGGAAGGGTTGGCGTTAGGAAATAGGATTAGTCATCTTACAGTAACTAGTGGGAGCAGGGAAAGCGGAATAGAGGCGGAAAGCTGACCAAGCTGCCTGGGTTTACTAGACTTGTCCGTCAAGGACTGCAGATGGTCTGGCTCCCGAGAGCAACTTGACTGGGTGGGTGCAGGGGGTGGGAAGTAGTATGACGTCACACAGGTGCTTTACAGTAACCATTCATTCACACTGTAATCATTAATACTGTCAACTGGACTGGATTTTAATACGCCCACGTTTGTAAAGAACACTTCTGGGGCGTCTGTGAAGTCACCGTCAAAGGCAGTGAGATCACGCACACTCTAACTTACTGACCATGAATCCCTAGATGGGTTCCTGCTACTATGGTACTGCTGGGAGGTGGTGAAAAGTAGGAAGTGGGGCCCAGCTGAGGAAATACTGGGGTCTGGTTGTCACCATGTAAACTGCCGTGCTACCATGCCAGCCGGCCCAGCCAAGATGGACCGACAACTTTAAAGCACAAATAAACGCTTCTTCCATTGAGTTATTCTGCCAGGCATCTGTCACAGCAATGAGAAGTCTGACCAACACAGGTGGAGGTATACCTGGAGCTTCCTTTAGTTATGCTCTTGGTTCCTTCCTTCCTTTCCTTTTCCTGAGATGGGCTGTTCCCATGGCTGCTCAAGCTGGCCTCAAACTGAAGATCCTCCTCCTTCAGCCTTCTAAGTACTGGTATTACAGGCATGGGCCACTGTTCACACTCCAGTTTCTTAACATCTTGACACCAGTCAAATCCCATTCCAACTCCAACCTCTCCCTCTACCCTGAGATTAGATCCTCTGCTATTGTGTTTACTGGAGATACTCTAGTTCCAGTATTTACAGTGTTCTTTTATTTAAAAATACTGAACAATATACATACTCGTGTGTTTGTGTACACATGTGTGGTCCACATGTGGGCATGAATGTGCAGGCTAAAAACACGATAGGTAACTTCCTCAGTTACTCTCCATCTTATTTCTTAAGACACGGTCTTTAACTAAGCCTGGAGCTCATTGATAGACCTAGACTGGATGGCCAGTAAGCTCCAGGGATCCCTGTGTCTCTATCTCCCCACAATACCAAGCATTTTCCATGGGGGCTGGGATATGAGTTAGGGCTTTCATGTTCATACAGCCAGCACTTCACTTACTAAGCCATCCCTCCAGTTCCTCAACATTTTCTTATTACCTCATTCATGTAAGTTTACATGTGTGTATTTGTGTGAAGGTATACCACGTGCACCGTGTGTGTGTGTGTGTGTGTGTGTGTGTGTGTGTGTATTCTTGGAAGCCAGAGGAGGGTGTTGGATCCCCTGGAGCTGTAGCTCCAAGAGGCTTCAGCCACCTGAGTTGGGTGCCAGGGAACTAACCTTGGATCCTCTGGAAGAGCAGCAAGGGCTCTAACTACTCAGGCACACTCCTCCAGCTCGCCTTTTCCAGACTCGACAATGCCTCTCTACAGTAGCTCCTGCTTGTTGTTCTTAATTTCTGTTTGTCCTATGGGGGTAGAGACGATTACTCAGGGAAAAGACACAGACACGCGGCGGTCCCACGTGGTACACTTTAATGGGGGGGGAAGGATAACAAACAGGTAAGGGAAAATGTGCAGACACACTAGGGGAGGCGGAAGGAAGGGGCGAACTCGTGACTTGTCCTTGCTTTTAACGGGGGATGCAAAGGCTTCTGGGAAATGTGTCTAAGGAAAACAATGGTCCCGATCCGTCGCTGCGTTAACACACCCTCCCTTCTTTAAATTCATAAATAACCGTCTAGCTGTCGTTACAGGTACCCCCATCAAATACGGAGTCAAGTGGTAAGCAGATTCTCCTCTACAAAGCTCTTTAACATAACAGGCCAGCCACTGACTGCAGCAGTGGCCCCTGAAATGTTAAGACATGTATGGTTAGAATCTATTTCTTTTAAGACAGTTTCCTTAAGCTCCAGGATGCCAGCCCAACGGATCAAACACAAAGGAATAAGTATCACTTAATTTTTTTATCATTCTTAACCCCGGACATCCTAAGACCCCCTCACCTGGATCTCCCCCCCCCACTCCAGCTCCCCCCCAAAAAATTTCCCCCCTTCTTTTAATTTTTTTTCTTTTACTAATGCAACTTTTGCCTTCCAGCATCTTAATGATGACCCAGCTACTCAGGAAAAGCCACACAGATTTCTTCAATCAGCCGCCTCAGACGACAGCCAGGACTTCAAACATCATTGACCAACTACACCAGCCAGCAACCCTGGACATCATTGACCAACTACACCAGCCAGCAACCCTGGACATCAGTGACCAACTACACCAGCGACCACAAACGCCAATGGGACATTGCCAAAATAATCGGACATTCCCTGGACCCCTCAACGCCCAAAGCCAGCAGGAAGCAGCCATGAGAGACCGGACTACGTCCCTATTCCCTACCCCTTAAGGTCCCCCAGTTTTTTTTAATCAAACCAAAAGGGTGAAATGTGTTCTCTTGCAACACTACAACTCCCAGCGTTCCCCTGGGGACACATTTCCCAGAAGCCTTTGCATCCTCCGTTAAAAGCAAGGACAAGTCACGAGTTCGTCCCTTCCTTCCGCCTCCCCTAGTGTATCTGCACATTTTTCCTTACCTGTTTGTTATCCTTCCCTCCCCCCCCCCATTAAAGTGTACCACGTGGGACCGCCGCGTGTCTGTGTCTTTTCCTCGCGTAACCCTTCGTCTAACCGGCAGGAATTAAGAACAACACTGCTCTGTAAGCATTCACTCTCAAATGGTCATCCTTAAAGCAGGCTATTAAAATTCACTTACAAACACATTGCTATATAAGCTTACTTTCTAGGATGTATAACAAGTTAAGAAATTAAATATAAATGACTGAATTTCCTCTCTCCTCACTTGTTACTCTGCCTATGAACAGAAGCCATATTTCAATGTCTGTGGGCAGAGGCTGCTCGTTCATTTCCCGACCGCCCTGGCTCGAAATCATCACACAAAAACTATATTATTTGCAATACTGTTTGGCCAATAGCTTAAGCATATTTTTAGCTAGCTCTTACATCCAGAACTAACCCATCTCCATTAATCTGTGTATTGTCATGTGGTTGTGGCTTACCGGGTAAAGTTCCGGTGCTTCTGTCTCCTGTTGCAAATCCTACTGGTGTTTGCCACCATTTCAAAATGGCGTGGGTTTTTTTTTTAATTAAAATGCCCTTAAGAACTACTAGAAGGGATGAGAACGCCTGCAACAATACACTGTTGCAGTTCTTGCTTCCTTTCATCCACTCTGATCTCCCACCCAAACAGTACAACTCTACCAGACTTATGACCTTCACGCCACTTTTACAGCTTCTCACAGGAACATTTGTTACTGATCCGCAGTATTATTAATATGGAGTCTATCTTATGAAGTCTAAAGATCCCTGCAGAATCTGGCCCTAAACGATTATCTACTATAATATATACATATATAGATAGATATAGATATATAGATATCTACTATACTTCCAGTTCAGTTTTCTTACCAAATGGAAGGCAATGACCACTCCCAGCTCCTCCACTACTTGGGAAGCCCTCATACTCCAGCTGCTGCCATCTGGAAAACACCCCTTTACTTTTCCTGAATTCTTCCTCTCTGAGGAGGCCCAGAACACTCTGGGCTCCCTCTGGGTCAGTTGTGAAGAGAAATGACGGGGCTCAGACGAAAGACATCACCTCCATTTGTTTTGCTCTAACAGACGCCCTTAGACAAAGTCAACATAACTTGTCAGAAAATTCCTGCCAAGCTGTATCTAAAAGTATCATTTTTGTTATGAGCCTTTAACACAAGGAGGGTGGGGACCCCATAAGATCAGGGTTTCTCAATCAGTTCCTTCCTTGTGAACCTCAGCCTTCAGGAAAGCTCGCTAGTGCATTAAATGGTTAAATGCGTCCTGCTGCTTTGTTTATCCCACTGGGAAAGGGCTGGTCCTCACTCACTTGGGGAGGGATAATGATAGATCAGCTTGTTTCTGGAATCTTCGCCAGAGCAAACCACTTAGCCTTTTTAATAAGCCCCTGTTGGAAATGAATAAAATAAGAAATGTATTCTGGAAAGGCAGGAGCACGGATTGTGTACCCAACAAACGGTAGACACCCTTGTACCCACGTATACTACAGCGGTCCCTTATATCCAGCCAGGCAAGAGCGTGTGGAAGCAAGCTGCTGCTCCCGTGGGATAAATTTGTCGTCAGAGTATCCAGAGCCCCTGAGATGTGACCTCGAGTGCTGTGCTCCCGTTCTGCCTTATTATGCAAAAAACGCTTCACTGCGTCAGGGTCTGAAATAGGATCTAAAACAGTGCCGGGTTCAGTAAGGTCGTTGGGACTTCTGACATGGGGACCGAGAGTTGAACGGAAGTGAAGGAAGGCCTCGGTTTGAGAGGAAATAAGAGATTACGGGTGAGGGGTGATTGCGACCCTATTTTCCACTTGCCAGAGCTCTGACTGATAGCATGGTTGCCCAGAACGCCCATCTTTGCGCAACCGGAATCAGGCGCGGCCTAAAAACGCCTCTAAATTTACCTCAGGTGGTGCAAAGCGGCCGGAGGAAGCGGCAGATGGCGGGAACTGAGCTTCAAACCCCCGCGCGGGGGCGGGGCCGGTGGGGGCGGTGCCCTGGAGGGCGGGGCCTGCGAGAGACGGGGCTGCGGCGGCCGAGCTCCAGGGGGCGGAGCACGGGCCGGGGGCTGGGAAGACTAGTTGCCACCGGAGCCGGCGAGGTGGGGGCTTGGGGAGGAGGGGCGTGGGCGTGGAGTGGGCGGAGCCAGGGCACGGGTTTATGCTGCGGTTGCCGTGCTGGAGCTGGCGAGATCAAAGCCAGTGTCCTGCGTCGTGGAGCTTGGAGCGGTTCGGTGAGTGTTGGCTGCTTTTGCCCCTTCCCGGGGTTGCCCGGCTCCCTGGAGCGGGAGTCCTCAGCCTGCCCGGTCTGCAGCTGCTTCGAGGAGGTGGTGGGGCGGGGAAGAACGAGTGATTTGGGCGGAGGATCCTTTGTTGCATTCTGGCTTGCTCAGGCATGCTCTGAAAAGCAGAGAAGCTGGAAACCCTGCCGCGGGCCCAATCCCAAACTGGAGCCCAGACCCGGGAGGCCGAGTGAGCCTGGAAGAACCGAGTCCCTGAGTCCCTGTGAACCGAGACCGGACACAGACCCCCGAGCCTGTCGCACGGGCCGCGCCGAGGAGCAAAAGGCGGAGCCCGGGGGTCGGGAGAGGCGAGATCTCCCGGAGCACGGACGTTCAGGGGCGGGAACCGGGCTGGAAGGGGGTGAGCCCGGAGGCGAGTGAGCGTGGTGGCCCAGTAGCGGGAGGTGGCGGGATCCTGGAGCCCCAGGCCGAGGCGTGGACCAGAGATTAGGATGGACAAGGAAAGTTCTGCCCCGGGGCCTGAAATCCCGTCCGCTGCCGACCTTGAGACTAGGTCTCTTAGACCTCTACCTAACGAGTATCTCATCTCTGCTTTTCTCGAGAACACTGTGATTTTGGTTCTTGAAGAGAGCTGATTTTAAGCATTGCTCCCCAACTTTGTTTCTCATCCCGAAGCCTTTCGTGACTACTCCAGCTCGTTCCTTTGTTGGTCAGTCGCTGTAGGAGCTGCGTTGACCATGCTCAGTTATTGTCCCTTCCTCAGATTTATTGTTTGTTGATCTACTCTGAAGCCCGGCTTGAGCAGCTGGGTGTTCGCCCCGTTCTCAGTTGAGTCAGCCCGGAAACGTCCTTCTCACGCACGGGTCAGGGACCCCACTCCTTCTGCCGCTAGTTACCAAGGCTTGCTGACTGTCTGCCTGGTTTGTACCTGGCTCTTCTGCTGTTTGTCTTTTCCTGGTACATTTGCTTATGAATAGGAACTCCTACTTAAGTTTCGTTTTTTTTTTTTTTTTGTAAACAATTCAATGTTAAATCTTCCTCTTTTCTTCCTTTGCATTAGGCATTTCCTGAGAGCGGACGGTCACAGCCTCTGCTTTTGTTTGCTGTTTCCCTACAAAACTAAGCCAGCACCACTCCGGACTGACTGTAGCGTGGTGCCCTCCTTACTGGTTTTTTTTGTTTGTTTGTTTGTTTGTTTTTGGTTTTTTTTTTTGCTCGTCCGTTTGTTTGATTACACAAATGATTAATTAAAATGTGGATCAAGAGAGATTGGTAGGTGTGAAAAATGTGAAGTCATTGTTACACTGTGAGTGTGTAGAGTGGCTAAGGGAGATGCTAAACTAGAGGGTTGACTAGCGGCTGGAAAGCCACTTTTAATGTGTTAACGGTGGCCGTGGCGCGAGCCATAAATATGAAATGTCGAGCTTGAACCATCCCTGTCACCACCTAGTATTCAAGCTTTGGCTCTGATTTGCTGTCCAGCAGAAGAAGGCTTTTGGAAAGCAAGAATGTGTTTTATTGAGTGAACAGTTTATTGAAATGTAGCAATGCACCTACCTGGTACAGAGTAACAGAAGTGAAACTTGGCACCTAATTAGATCAGATTGCTTTGTCCTCCTGAAGAAGGGTCTTGCCTCCAGCCTTTTTAGGAACCCAGTGTCTTTATCTGATCTAAGCAATTACTGTGCCTGCCTTTCAAACTACTGTTTCCCTTTCAGACCTAACAACACAGCCACTTCATCCTGCCCTTTCTAAAGTTACAGCACAGTCCTTACTTTCTTCAAAGACCTTCCATTAGTTATGGTCTTAGTATTAGATAATGCTTCAAGTTCTGCCTCAGTGATGGGACTTAAATAAAAGTGAGAATTCTTAAGCCCTAAGCACTGTTATATATTCATTTAATAAACTTAACATATTAGAGAGGAAAGAACAACTTTTCTCTCTGTTGTCTGACCATGTGAAGCCCGGTCTCAAGGTGCTCACCAGCTCATTCATAAATCAGGTATAATCCATATAATCCGTAGGGTTGTTTTAAAGAGCAGATGAAATAATATATGAAACAATGTTTAGTTTGGTCTGGAATTCTACATAATAGTTTTTGGGTTTTTTTGGCCTTTTTGTTCTTACCTTCCCTGTGGAGTGTCTTCATTCTGCTAAAAGTACAGTAAAATTATCTATGCAAGGACTGGACATGGGCTAGTGTCTACGCCGCTGCTACTTTTAAACACCAATGAACGTGGATATAAGCTCTGTACAGGGGATAGGGTCCGCCTCTGCCACTGCTTCCTACACTCAAGGTCCAGTGCAGCTTCTGCGTATAGTTGATATTCGGTAAAGTATATAGTTATCTGTAGTTTCCAGGAAATCAGACATTCAGGATTTTCCATTCTATGCTTTATTTCAGCAAAGAGATTGTTTTGGAACAGGCCATCAATTCTTACACATCCCCAGGAGCATATAGGGCCTTACAGGTCTGTAAAGACTTTGGTCCCTCCAAAAACCGTGATCTCAGGGCTTCAGTTGGGGAGGCAGGCCCTTTGCAGATAGGAAGTGCCACAATTCTTGCCAACTTGTGACACAAAATCACTTAAGTCAGTGTACCGGTCTGCCTTCCTGGTTGTGTGACTCATACCAGAAACAAAAAAACCAGCCCATTTATGTGTCCCTATGATGCAACTGAACTGCCTTCCGTATTTTCTCTGCCTTTCCAGCCTGTCTTTTCACTTTCATTTTATTCTAAACATTAAAAGGTTGACTTCAGCAGGGTCAATGGCAACAGCCAGTTCAGTGCATCCCCAAAGGGACTGAGACCAGGTGGGACAGATTTGGAAAGAAAAGAACAAAAGAGCCACCGGTACACTACCGATGAAATCTTTTCTTAACCAGGCTGTTGTGAAACGGGTTCTCTTTCTGTTTCATTTGCTTAATATGGAACTCCCAGTGCTGGGAGCTTCGTCCTCACCGAGAAACAGTCAGTATAATCCTGGTGTTTCTCAAATCGTTCTGCACAGATAGAGCTAGGCTTCCCAGAAGCCACACTACGGTGGCTTCACTTTCCTATTGAAAGGAAGCCAGGTAGGGCAAATAGAAAACATTTTAATGATGTTCACTGAAGTTTAAATAGATACTTTACATTTATAAATCAATTGACCAGTAGCATGAGCAACATTGAATCTTTATTTCCATTTCCATTTTCTTCATTGCAACATATTGTGCTATAGTTGACCTGTTTTTGTGGACTTTACCAGCCTGCAGGTAGGATCATCAGAGACTAGAAATGGAATCTGTATTGAAATGTACAGACTTTAATCATCCACTAAACAGCACTGTATGTTGTTCATGCAGTACCATGTATCATTAGTAATAAGTAATGGGTAATTAGTAATAAGTAGTGGGTGGGGATGCTTAGCTTCTCTCTAAAATATACACCATTTTATACAAAGGATTTGGGCTTGGGTTTACTGTCTGAGGCAGGTTGTGGAACCAGTCACCCACAAATGACTGTATATTTGACTTCAGTTTTTAATCAGTTTCTGCCATACCATGTATGTTTTTAATCTCATTTAATTAGAGCACTTGGGCTTATGGGTTTTCGGTCCCTTGCAATTAACTGTAGTTTTGTTACCCTTATATGGTGTTGAGCTGTCTGTAGACTGTAGAGTGGTGTTTGTTACCTGGAGCTGGAGTTGTGGCTCTGTCACTTAAAAAGTGATTACCTTTCCAAATTAACTAAAATCTAAAGTGGGACCGTTACGCCTCGGTGTGATTGGGAAGCCCAATTGAAAATACTTGCATACTTACTGGCCTGGCATGTGTTAACTGGAAGTGAGAAAAACTGGCTACAACTTGGTTAAGTCTTTACCCCTAACTTTGAACACTCGTGTCGAAGGAGAGGACTCAGAAATGAAGAATGTTGACTCTTGTGTGTCATGATGAGATTTAGAAAACGGAGACAAGGTTTGATGCCTCAGCTCATGAGGTCTTTATCTAGGCCAGCCACTGGAACAGCCTGGTGATAGGGACAAATTCTCCAATTAAGAATATCCAAAACTGAGTCTGCGGGGCGGGGATGGCTCAGGAGGTGAAGTGCTTGCTGTGCAAGCCTGGGTACCCAAGTTCAGATCCCTAGCACCCACGTAAAAGTCGAGGGTGGTGAGCTGTGGCTGCAATCCTACCAGAGACAGGCAAATACTAAAACTCAGTGTCTTAATCCAGCCAAGATAGAGAACTCCAGGTTCAGTGAGAGAAAAAATAGGGTGGTAGGCAATAGAGGAAAAGATCAGAAGTCTGCCTTGGGCTTCCCTGTGCACAGGTGTAGGCAAGCACAGACACGCGCACACACACAGAGATACACACCTACCTCTAAGAGTTGTTTTTACTAACATGACATCCCATTTCAAATCCCTACCATAGGCAAGCTTTCATCTATATTTTATAATGGGTCTTTGTCTTGTTTCAAGTTGTTATTGATACATTATACCTCACTGTCTAATTTTTAATTTCGCGAATAGCTTCTGTTCCTCTGCTTTAATTCTGAAGATTACTTGTTCTGTCTTCTTCCACGGTTGCAAGGAAAAACTGGCAAACAACTGTGTAAATAAAAACAAGTTCCAACTTCTCACGTCTTTAAGGAAAACATAGTTTGGGACATTTAAATCTCTATTTAAATTGATGCCAGCATTCCCAAACTTTTGAACATCTGATTGCTGGTGCTTCAGTGACGAAGGGATCTAGGAACTAGGGGAGTGAATCTAAGTCCTGAGTTCCAGATTGTCATGAGGTCAGTGCATTGGCCCATAGCTTCCTGGTGACCACTAAGTGTATTTCCGAACTTTTCCGGGCATTTGAACCTTAAACTAGTGCAGGCATCTTCAGCAAGTCAGAGACAGTTGTGGGGAGTTGGTTGGTGAGCCAGAATGTGTTGTAAAACACCATTTATTTTCTTTAATAACCTAAGCTCCTGCTATCATCTGGGACAGTCTATACATCCC